GTTCAAACTGGTCTGAGATTTTCAGTAGATGCTCCTATGGTATGCATTTGAAAATCCTATATTGCATCGTTCTTAAGTCATCATGTTCACAAACTTGGGTGTCCATGCTACCCCGCCCGGTGGCGTGATGAAAATACTCCTGAGCTGTACAGCCCTTCAGCGGTATTGTACAACTAAGGGGGAAAAAGTTGAAGATTATTAGTTAAAACTATGGTTGGCAATTAAAATTATTGGCTAACCATACAGATTTGCAGTTAGAATAAAAATAAAAGTTTTGGAAAAACTGAAACAACTAAACAAAAACAAATGCTATCAACACATAATAGATTAAACGAGCTGTTATTAAATTGAGCCACAGCTAAACGTTGAGGATGAAATTGCTAATCTGAAAATAATTGGTAAGAGTAAAGTGTAGGCAAATCCTGGTTTTAAATGAGTTTAAGATAATACAGTTGAACATGAGTGGAGCTGTTGATAAAGGGATTCTTGAGCCCATCTTACAGGTCTGTACGTCAAATGAAAAAAAATGCTGAGATGCACTGTGCTGTGAGTTGATTGTCTTTATCTATTTCACTAGGTCCAAATGGCAGAGAGAGCCAGCGAGGTCACCGAACTGAAACGCAACCTTGCCCAGGCTCTCAGAGACAAAGAGCAATTACAGGAGGTAAAGATGCCACCACCAGTGTTCTCTAAATGAATTTCAATGCAACATTGTTGCTTTAACAGCAACTCAGCACTTTCATTCAGGTTTTCCACTTGTCTGCACATAAATTGTGGCCATATTGGCCTGAAAAGAGGAGAAAAATCAACTGTCACCATGGAAATCGGTCTAAAAACAGTGAAAATGTTAATGCACTCTCTCCACACATAGTGCCCGAGCACTCTAGAAACTTTTGCATACTCTGATTTCTAAGCAGGCACAAGTTGTGCATAAATGAATCTATTCATTGCAGGTAAAACTGTGCATATTTCAACAATGACCTCAACTTAAGGTTATAAAACTTTAGCCTCAACATAGCTCTTACTTACAATCAAATTCACATACTTAGACAATGTAGACTGAGCTGAAGCCCAGACCAGTATCATTGCTTTCAATTATAGGAGGTGTATGAACCATTTCCATAGCTTTTTCTTTCTTACTCAACACTCCCCACTCTCCTCTAATTAATACATCTATACTTGCTTCTTTCGCCCACTGGTACAGTGCCATTAGATGGTGCAAATGCCACACAACGTGTCTGTTTCACCTTCCCAACCCTGGTTTAAATGTTAAACCTGATAGCAGCGCACTAATGAAGTCATAAAGAGAGGAGATCAGGGAGGAATAGGGAGAGTAAGGAAGGAGTTACAAAGAAAGGGAGAGGGTGAGTGCTTCTATCAGCAAAGCCAGAGCAGAGGGAGCCAGAGTCTGACACCCATTACAGTAATGAGTAGGGTACTAATGCGCTTGCTTCAGATATAATCACAAAGGGCAGAAACAATGTAGACGGGAAACTTAACTCTTAAGATGAACGCACTCACCAACTGTGAGAAAGGTTCTGCTGAAATGTTAACTGATGACTTATAAAACTGAGACTGACTGCGGTTCTGCGCTTATAGCATCAGGAGGATATCCAGGACTTTTTAAATGAGGTGTGGCCGTGAAGTGTAAAGTGTAAAGCTCTCTCGCATCTCTTCTGTAGCAGTTGCAGCGTTACATGTCCAGGCAGAGGGAGCAGGAGGTTGCTGTTCAGGGTGCTGAGGTCCGGCAGCCAATGGTGCTGCGCTACCCTCTGCCCTACCCCCAGCATCCCTCCCCTCCGCCGCTGGTGCCGCAGAGGCCCGCTGAGCTGCAGTACGGCAATCCTTACTCCACCGACACCACAAGAGGTCGGGTCAGAAACTGAAATGATTTACTCGCACTCTGTGTCCCTGCTGCTCCCCTGCTGCTTTAATGTGTTAATCTTTTTAGATCGGGGGGATGTTGCACTTTCCCCTGAGCACGTGTCCCGTCCCCCACCTGAGGCTCCATCCTGCACCCCTCCCTGCGCACCTCCGATCTCACCGTCTAGCCCGGGTCCGGGAGCACCAGGCTGGGATCGAGAGGTGGTCTGCATCCAACCCTCCCGTAGCACAAGTCCCCCCGAGACCCTCGAGCATCCACCAGAGGAGCCACAAAATGTGAGTAGCGGTGTATCTAGCTCAAAACTGAAAAACCTATTGTTGGCTAAAATTTTATATTTAGTGTATGTAGTGTTGTTATATATAAATAATGCATTGTATTTCTGAATAAATACAAAACCATGATTGGCAGCATTAATTGACCTCTCTACATAACTTTTGAGGGATATTTTAAATCACTGTGATGCGATCCCAGCCGTTGCTCTCCTACACTGGCTTTTTGTTGTTGCCACGATAATCCCGCGTTTACTTCACCCTTCTCCGTCTCTGGAGGATTTCTCCTTCGCTAAACGAAGGGAAATGCAGCTTGGCCTTAAAAGACGGTGCTTTGAACTCATTTGCATGAAGCTCTAATTAGTGTCACTCCTTCAGAGCTCAAGAGAGATGAAGATAACAAGAGCTGGGGGAGAGTAATTAGAGGAGGTTTTGCATAAGGACAGGCAGAAGATGAGTTAGAGACTGTCGGATAATGGGGCATCCTTGTTTACTGTCATGTAATAGAAATGTAGGTACACATAGTTTACTAACACACGCTTCATTTACTTTAGTCGCACTCCTTTTTCCTGTAATTGTCTTTGGAGGTGGTGTTCATTAAAGCATTCAGATCTGTGAGCAAATAGTGGAAATTTTCTTTTTGTGTGTGTGTGTGCCAAAGGTGGGAGATGGGGCTCAGCAGTCCTGTGATCATCAGCCCAACAGACGCAGTGAAACCAGGAGCAGCTTCTGCTTTGACTCCAGGTAGGACATTCATTTTCAACACAAGGTGTCCTAGAAGACACGACACATAAAGAATGAAACAAAGTAACGCACAAGAGCATCAGTAAAAACAGATGCACAGACAGCTGCTTTGTTGGGAGTTTTTGCCTTGGAAAAAAAAAGATTTGTATCAAAGTAGCCATTGATTCATTTTCTCTCCAGAACTTAAACTGCTCCAAGTAAGACCTCGTCATTTTGAACCCCAGTATATATGACATAACATGCTAAATGACACAGTCAGAGATTTCTTCCTTATGAACATAGAGGATCACATGAAGACAGAATTAATTTATCTGTTTCTGCTCTTACGGGAAGAGTAGCGCACAGAGCCAATAATTACCCTGCAGGGGGGGTAACACAGTTGCTTATTGCAAGTGACTCAACAGCTGCTTTTCAAGAGGCGCACGTCTCTGGCTTTCATTATTTAGTCATAATCTGGTCTGTGAGCAAAAGAGGCCTACTCCATTACAATGATCCACACGGAAACTCACATTTCTTTTTCAATTTTTTGTCTCTCTCATCTATCCATCACCCCTTCCACCAACCCCCGACCTCATCCATTTTCCCCTCATCCCCTTCCGCAGTAGTGACGTTCACAAGCGCTGCCCGCTGTGCGAGGTGATCTTCCCGCCGCACTTTGAGCAGCGCAGCTTCGAGCAGCACGTCCAGAGCCACTGGAAGGTGTGCCCCGTCTGCTCCGAGCAGTTCCCGCTCAACTGTCAGCAGCAGCTCTTCGAGCGGCACGTCCTCACGCACTTTGACGGCCACGTCCTCAACTTTGAGCAAATCGAATGAAGGGGAGGGGGTTCCGGCATACTGTATGGGTAAATATGTGTCGCTATTAGTTGATTTTGACTCGGGTTTGGTTGATTTATCTTGTTAACATACAATCATTTGCACTTTTGTTGTGATTTTTCTGGGTTTTTTTTTTTTTTTCCTTTTTGTTTGGAACGTTTAAGAGAATGTAGTCTACTTCTGAAAGGAAGCAGAGTTTGTACTTAGGCGGCTAGTCCTCCCAAGTTATTTAGCAGCTTTCACGTTAACATACAATCATTAACATTCAGGAATAGTGCCACAATCCTTTGCTTTTCTAGCATCTTTCTCCTTCAAGGGATTAAATGCACAAATATATATATTTTGTGTTCCAAAACAATTCACAGACACAAAGCTGAACTGGGACTCCGAGGGAAAGCATCCTAAACGTCCCTGTTCTTTTAACTTCTCCGAACATGCATACACCAAGTGAGAAATCATCCAAGGCAGTGAGTCGTCCTTTATTTGTCCTCAGAGTATGATGCTTCGCAAGACGCGAGAGATAAGAGCATAAATGCAAAGTGAATATGAATATGTGACATCTTAAAAGAGTCGCCTGTGCGTGTACATAAAAAGTGAAGAACTGTGTGGTGGAGATGAAATATTGTACGTATGAGATGGTTTAAACACAAAAGAAAACAGCACTACATTTTCATGTATCTGCACTAAATAAGGCTTTATTCTGAATGTACTGTACATAAATGAAAAGAAATATAAATTGTGGCGATACCTGTGAATTACGTCGTGAACCCGCCTCCCCTTATCGTTACCTCCCTCATATTTAAAAGAAGACAGGACCAATGATGTTTTACTTCCTGGCGTGCACTTTCTTGATCTTAGGTCGGCCGTACGAAGCTGGGCTTAGGAGATAATGAACCTCGTTTTTGGCTAAACTGGCTGCCGGACACGGGGTTAGACTTGTTACGTACTTTCATGTTTTACAGTCACAGTCTGTTAGCCCTCATGACTGAATGTCGTTTATGTGCGTCTTCACGGGGCTTCCTCACCACCGCTTGTTTATTTCAGTCATTATGCGTGTTGTAACCAGGCTTTTTAAAAAAAAAAGAAAAAGGAAAGAAACGCACATGTCCAGTCATCACAAGACAAACCTGTGTATGTATGTCACGTGTCCGATGCAGGCCTTTTCATGTGAGAATGGTTTAAGTGGTGCTGCAAAGATCTTTATGAATAAAGTCAGCTTGTCTAAATGCATTTTGATGCTTTGTTCTTCATTTCTGAGCTGAATAAGTAATGAACACGAGTCTGAGATGTGGAGCTTTTTTACTTTATTTTGCTTTTTTTTTTCTCAGTCGTTTCCTGTTTACATTTAAGCAGCTTCTCTTTTATATAGAAAGACAGGTTGACATCATTTACAAGTCACTCTTCTCAGAACCTGTTGTACCCCCGTACAAAAAAAGGAAACATCAGTCTCCACGTTACATACGAAAATATAATTTAAAAGCACTTGACAACAGATGCACGTTACAATACATTCACTGTACACGGTATATTGAAGTTCCTCCCTCATCTCCCCTCCAGCACACACCCTCCGTTTCTCCTCTCCCATATGTGCGAGTGGCCCTCCCGAGTCTGAAGCTGAGGATGGGTTTTGTTTTTACGAGTGCTTGACAGCTCAACTTTCAGTCTGTCCCCGCAGAGAACCTTCTCTCCTACGCTCAAAGGCCGGACTGAAGTGTCTTCTATCATCATCTCAGGCTAGCAGCTCCACAGATGTCCTCGTAACCTGGTGCCAGGATTTTACAGATCCAGGTTCCAGGTGGTTTAAAATAGGCATGGATTTGTGCTTATGTAGTAGCACACTCGCTGAGGGTATGTGGCGATCCTGCAGTCTGCCTTTTAACAACATTGTGTAAGTAAAAATCCCTATAGCCAAACTGGAGGACAGGACGGTGTGTGCATGTCGGAGATCACTGTACCTATCAAATGAACGGGGGGCTCATGCTGCAAGCCTTGAGCAGAATCTAAACTTTTTTTGTACAATGAGGGAAATGATGATATAATGAACAAATGTGTCTTGGCGAGTTGAAGCACTGCGCTCTCACTCGGAATGATGAAATCCCAGTCAGGAGCAACAAGCCAGCCAACCACCCTGCTCCATAGGAGTTGAACCAGCAGCCAGGCACAGAAACATGACACATCCGAGCAATGAGACACAGATTACAGTAATACTCTCTAGGCTGATGACTTGGATACTGCTGAAAACACACACCACTCACACTCTCGCGAACACACAATGGACTGGAATGCTTTTGTCTAAAACACACACGCACAAAAACGACACGTAGATGGTAATCTCTTTCAAATACAAAATCCACCTTCTTCTTTCACACGTCTCCACACGACACAGAAACATGCGTGAAAAACATTCTTCTCGTGTACATCCATTCATTCCCGTGACTTTTTTCTTTTTCTTCTTTTTGGAGGTGCGACGTACAAGAAAATAATTGCCACAAGTCTGGGGCGACCTCCGGGGTGGAAATATTACAACACTCTTCCCATCCACCTTCCTTTCCTCCCCCCTTCCCCCTCCCTCTCTCCTCATCCCCTCATCAGGCACATGGTATGGTCAATGTTTGGCAGTGGAGAGCTGTTGGCAACGATCATGGAAAAAACAAAACAACTACAAAGATCTTGGCAACTGGAATACAGTGTGCCGCTTAACCCACTTTTGTGGCTAAGCGTGTGGAACGCAGCTCTGGCACTGTGAATGAAGAAACGCTGGAGATAACGATGGCTTAATGCGGATACGGATCGGGCCGTGTTCTAATACGTTCTCCACGTGATAAAATGGTCAAACGACACACAGATCGGTGTCAAACTGAAAGGAGCATTAGCTCTTAATCTGTAGAACATGTAAGGAAAACAAAGAAACAAAAACTCAGAACCTAAAGTCAGCCAGCTGATTGACCTTTGACCTCTGAGGTGACAGAATTGCTCAATCAGCAAATGAGGAATGAAAGGAACACTTACTGATACATAAAAATGAACACGAAATCTAAAACACTGACAAAAATATATAAAATAAAGCTTGAAAATAAAGTAACTATGTATATGCTCATGAATACTTTTATATATTTTTATGTACACATACATATCTGTCTATTGTTTATATATCGATATATCTATTAAAAGTATAACTTAACTCCAGCGCTTTCACCCCCACAAATGACCGTGAAGGCACAGATCTAAGCTCAGCTGGACTCTGCAGCTCAAAAGGGAGTGTAACAACCGCTGAGCTTACATCAGCACTGGAGGCCAACTTCATCCCACTCAGAGCTGAGCAGGAGGAAGGCAGGGCTTGGTTGCACTTCCTGTTTCACGTCTCCATCTTTTCTCCTCTTTACTTTCGTATCATTTTGTTTTTTGTCTTTTCTTTCTGTTGTTTTTTTTACAGTTAGCACCTTATGTAAGTCGAACGATAGAAAATAAAATAATGTGATAGCATATACGAATGTGCAAATGTACATCAATAAAAATACTACAAAGATAGTTCTTTTTTGTTTCCCAAAAAAATACAAGTGATATAACATAGATAGAAAAAAATACTAACGTAACACACAAAAAGAAGATGATTTAAAAAAAAAAAACAAAAAAAAACTTAAAGCATGCACTTGATCCTTTAGTGTACATAGGATGGGAAAGGAAAGTCAGGACTCTTTTTTTTTTTTTTTTTTTAGGGGAAGTTGATTGGTGTGAGCGCGGGCTCTTAGCCTTGAATCTTGCGGAGGATCTCGGTGGAGACGGGCGGGTGGAAGTTGATGGTGTGGTGCCTCAAGCCCTGCGAGGTCTTGTAGCTTTTGCCACAGCGACACTTGAAGGGTTTCCTCACACGAATCTGTGTGCGGTGGCCGTTCTTGGCGTGGTATTTGATACCATTCACATTCTTAAGAAAGTGGTCGCATGCAGAGATGAAGAAGAAAAATGGGGTTATAATTACCACTTTTGATTGCACACAGCATCTATAAAACACCAGAGCATTATCCCAGATTTTATGGACAGAATTCCAATGAAAATACAACGAAAATACAAATGTGAAACATTTCACTAAACGTAGGCTTCATCCAACATTTGTTTTTCCTCTCTCGTTTTTTACTACACACATCATGATAGAGTAGCGCCAGTGAGTTGACTTTATCTCATTCACAATGATAAAACATGGTAGATTTCAATCGATTAGCCTTTTTTATTTTAAAACAATAGGTAGCAGATCAGTTGTCAGTTATCATGTGGTACACAAAAGAAAAATCCCATGTGCACCAGCTGTTTAATACTTTGAGTCTCCTTATATCATAAAGCCACCAGAGTTAAAATCTACTGAGAATTGCAAATATGAATTTGACCTTAAGCACAATTTGGGTGCAGACCCATTACTGGGTGCAAGTTTCACTAAAATCTGAACAGTACTGCTTATTAATAGTGCACAGACAGATGCAGGGATGGATGTCTCGCCAATCCACCCTGAGGCCACTTACTGCATGTCTTTCCCTGTTCTCTCTCTCTCCCAGCTTTGTGGTCTTCTATACATTGTCCTAAGACAATAAAGACTAAAAACGCCCAGAAATATAAGTGATTTACATGATATCAGCAAAACTGCTATTTTGTGTTTAGTGGTAGGGAGTTAAAGTTATCATCCTGAACTACTAAACTAGGAAGGTAAACCTTAAGACTGCTTCATATTAGCATGTTTGCATGCTAATTTTACCATTTTTCTGTCAATCAACAATTTCCTTTCTCCGCTTTAAAGTTGGATAACTTCAACTATGTACCCGCCCACTGCATCACTAATGGATACTTCAGTGTCGTCACCATCAGTCCCTGAATTTCGCCGAAGTCCTGCGGCGTCTGGTTGTTATATCACTGCTAGTCTCATCCTCTGTGAATGCCCCTCAACAACAAAGGTCGCTTTTCCCACGCTGCTGTTTTTGTCTTCAGGGTATTAGGGAGAAATGTTCCCACACTGTCCATTAGTTAAGCAGCTTGGATAGTGAGCAAGCTGAATGAGTTTTTTGTTGCCAGCTGTTATTAAAAAAAATGAATTAAAAAAAAATTAAGTGAAGCAGAAAATATTAATCACCCTCAGATCTTATAATGTGCTTTTTCAAACACATGTGATACTCAGACAAAAGTTCTAGTGTGGATTTATTCAGAAGTAAAACCTCATGCCTTCGTGGAACTGCCTGCTCCGCCCTCAGGTTCAGCCTTACCTTGTATCTCTTCTTACACCCGGGGACGGGGCAGGCGAACGGCTTTTCATCGGCCCCGTTCATTGACATGGAGCTGAGGATGGACTCAGAGCTGATGGCGCTTTCTGTGGTCCACGACTCATCGCTATCCGACTCCTCGTAGTCTACCTCCTCCTCATCATACTCGCTGCCTAAAGGCATAATGGAGCCACGCAGAACAAAAAAACACTTGTCAACCCAGCTGAAACAGGGATAGCGACATACCCACGGGAATGCAACGCCCTGGGAATTTGAGAAGCAGAAAACGATAAGTGACTTTTTATTAACACATTTCTCTGCGTGCTGTCCCCTGCTCGGATTCATAAGCAGCCCACATATCACGGAACGCACAAGCCAGAAATGGTGTGATGTGCTTCCGTGTGTGCCTGTGAGTCAAAATGTGGGGATTGGCACTGAGAAAGAGATCATTAAGTGGGAGTGATCCCCATTGCTCAGCCTGGAAAAAGTGCTTTACTAAGTGCAGAACATTTTCCACTCACATGCATGCACACACAAACACACACACACACACATAGACATAAAGGCCCACTGACCCCCCACCATCTCACAGGAAATGCTGCACCTCAGCTTGAGGAAATGGATGGCACCCTGGCACATGTTGAAAGGGGGCGTGTGCGCGCGCGCACATATATATATGTGTGTGTGTGTGTGTGTGTAGCCATGCTGATGTGTAAGCCCAGACCTAACACTACGTTTGGAACCATTTGGGCTGGAATTGGACATCTGCTTCTAGGCTGTGCAACACACGGCCCCATGCGAACACACAGCGTGACAGCTGCTATGTAATTAACAAAGTGTTGACTGGTCTGCTCACTGCAGGAGCCACCATTCCCAAGACACAAACAGTGCACACACACACACACACACACACACACACACACACACACACAGGAACATAGTGGTTGGTTACAAGCTTTCCACTGTGACAGCAGATTTTCCTGATGATTTACAAAAGAGCAAGTATTAGCAGAGAATTGGCCAGAAATATCCAAAAAAATAATGGTTAATGTTTACAGAGACACTGCTGAATATAAGATGAGCAGGCTTGTGCACTCCTAGCAGGTATTTTGTAGTTTTCACTTTGAGATGCAGAGCCATTGGACAGCTATGAAATAAGCTGCATTCCATTTGCATTACAAATATCTTCACTCGCTCTTCAGCGCGCTGTCTGACTTTGATGAATATGCTTCCCATGTTTTTTTCTCTTTGTGTCAGTAGGGTTAAATTGCCTAAGTCAGTTTCAACATATCCTTTCCCATCACACATATAAGCAATCCATCTTTTTCCCTTTCAATCATACGTTTGAACACACACACACACACACACACACACACACACACACACACACACACACACACACACACACACACACACACACCGGTTATACCTGTAGGTGTGCTGCTGCGGAATGAGGAGGAAGGGGTGATGGGGGGCGTGACGGGAGGCGTCAGGTTACCGCTGGTGTGGCGGGGAGGTGTGGCCGTGCTGTTCCTGGACACTCCGCCCGTGATGGACAGGGACAACTTGGGTGTGGCCTTCTTCTTTATGGTCTCCTGCTCCCGGCGTGCTGCATCCGTCATGAACCTGACGTCACACAGTTATTGTATTAGTTCGCATTATCCGATTTCTCATTATTAATCAGTGGAGAGGTCTCCTACCTGCATGTAATACTAAACTTATGTGACAGCTGTGTTCTCATCAACTTGAAAACCTTATAAATATAAGCAATGTTGTTCAAATAAATGCTAACACATTTTCATCCACTTGGGTTGGTTTTTTTGGGTTTTTTCTATAACTTTGACCTCTTAATTTGAAAGGTAATTAACTGAAAGTTTATTATAACTTCGGTAATTGTTGTAGTTTTGCCTTTTCCCTGCTAAGGCTACAGCGACAGAGGTTTAGAGACAGCAAACATGCTACAGTACGGCACCAAGAACATACTGATTGCTTTGGTCACTAGCAGATTGCAACTGTTGCCTGTGGTTTGCATGGATGACACAAACCCTACCAACTAGTGGCTGCCACTGGCCTCTGCAACTGAGGCCTAACTACTTAGATTTTGCTTGTGATTACATGAAATTATAAATTAAAACAGTAGTTCTCTTACTTTTTAAACTGATGTACAGCCACGGATCCACTATTGATCTAATGATGTAGCCTATTTTAATCCTTCATCTACAACTTTTAGCTACAACTCTGTTTATCAGCTATTAATTAAGTACACTGACCACTTTCAACAGTTTTCCCACTCCATTTAGTTGCACGTGTGAATCTATACTTTTGGGTAAGATTTTCAGCTGATAGACACATTTTCAGCCAATACTGTCCAGCTTTTTTCAACATTTCACCTCTGTATTATGTTTAGCTAATGACTGACTTTTAGCTAGTTTAGATTTCTTGAACGGTTTATCTTGCCATTAGCTAGTCATTGCAGTGGGAAATCCATGCTTTTAGCTACAAGATTCAATTTAAAGCCTCACTTTTAGCTCTTAACTCCCAACTTCAGCTTATTTTGTCGCAATTTATTTAGTAATGCTAACTGTTTAAATGTTTATACTATTATACTACTATATCCATACTATTAGCAATCAAATTAAAATCCTTATTCAAATGGTATACAGTTTCAAAAGTCTTAGCTAATAAGTTTAACTAGTTATTAGCAATTTCAAATATTGTTTCACAGTTTAGGTTTTTTGTTACAGTTTTAATAATATATGTATTCTTTTAGCTGTCTTTGCACGGTGTTTTTTAGCTGCTAACTGTTTATTTAAATGTTATTTTTTTATTTACTTATAAGTTTGGCTAATCTGTCCTCGTACCCTCTGTTGACTGCAGAAGTATCGCTGCTTTAATAAAACCCTGTTAATTTATTATTTATTATCCTTTTCATAAATTGTGATTCATATCCTAATTTGGTTTTCTAACATGTGGCGTTAAGCTGTGCTCCACTGTTGCTATGAGAAAAATGTCCATTTGTGTGAGAAGACAGGGCCTTGCTGCTGAGTGAACTCCTCCCTTAAATATTCTGTCAAAACATGTACAGTAAATACAAATGACATTTATAGCCTCGCCACTTGAACAATTATCACAGAAAACAAACCTCTCTCTTTCATTCGACCATTATCTCTCTCAGTGTTACATCTTGTAGGGATTTAACGAGGCATTTAGTGGGACGTGACACATCGGTTCACCACACACAAACACACACATGCCGTAATCCTCTGGCTGCACAGGGAGTCAAAAGTGATTGTCTTGTGTGGTTTTCTGTGCTGGTCTGTGGATGAGTCACTGCTGTGGGTATGGGAAAAGTCAGTCATTGGAGATGTTCTCCGCAAGCCACATATACACACACTCACACGCATGTTAACTTTCACTGGTGGAACAATGGTGCCCTCTGTAGACGGATGCTTTTGAGCGTGTGTGAATGTGTACGATTGTGTGTGCCTTACCTGTTGATGTAGCTTAGGGCCAGATAGGTGGGCTGCTGTTGCTCCTGCTTCTCCAAGACCCTCGGATCTGTGTCTGCGAGAGAAGGAGACGTTCAGATTAATCACCACTCCCTGTGGAGGGAAAATGTTCTGTGAATACTCTAAGTATGTAGCTGACTCACACATGTATTCTTTCTGCCAGACAGGCTGATAGATTACTAGATATGTCTCACACTGCGTTCACTGTATTAGTCTCAATGTGTGGCACCCTGCAGATACATTTCAGATACTTTCATAAACGGCACGTTATTACAGCAGAACCAAGCCCTATCTAATTTACAACCAATGCCTTCGCTGAAGTGACCCAAGACCACTTAATCGTTGCCGGGGGGAGGATGTGGTTACAAAAAGAAAAAAATTACTTTAGAGTAAAGGCGGCTGTGATGAATGTACACACTGTATGAGCTGAGGAGTACATACAGGCTTTTTCCAGATGACTTGCTAAGTCAGTAACGCTACAGTCGGCAACTTCCACTGCCTGAGGCAAGCAGTGTGTACTTCAAAGTCCCATCTCACACCCCGGGAAAACAGAAGCAAGTGTGCATGAAAACACTGCGGGTGGGTTACATATGTGAACTACCAGTGCCATCAAGTGTTCAATCTGGGAATGTTCAGAAGGAGCTTAAAAAAACAGTACATTTAAGCCAAGCCATCTATGTCTGCGTGAGTGTGTGCACTAGCAGGCATAATTGCAGCAACATATGTAATAGCTAGCAGATGTATTTCAATTTAGATCCAAGGACTAGATCATCTCTGTGCAAAAATTAACAACACACCCCTGGATGCTTCCAACTGTGGTGTGTTGGCCTTCTCAGCCCTTCAGTTTTCAGGCTTTCACACCTCATAATTAAACAAAGAATGCAGACTTCCCACCGTGCGGGAGGAGGAACACTAAGGAGACCAGCAAACAAGAAAACAACCCAGAAAAAAGAAACTTGCCCACTTCAACTGGTCTGCCATGCAAAACATAGTCCTATATATGTGACTTTCAAAATAAAAAGACTAGGCAAAGGGGGAAAAGGGTAGCAAGATTATATACCCAGGTGGTCCGCAGAGGTGGTTTCTGACAGTCTTTTATAGCTGAGACTTAATAATCCTACCTGCTGCTCAGATGTAGAGACCAGAGCTTTCTGTGCATGCATAATTGTGCACAAACACACACACATACACACAGCTAAACCTACATCCCTGAGTCACGAGACATGTTTTAGTGAGAGCTATCTGCATCTTTTAATAACCTTTTGGAAACCACTGAGTAGACTAGACAACAACAGGGAAAATCTGCTAAAACAAAATCTATATATGCACTGAGATTAAGCAAAAAAGATGACAGGAATGACAAATGAGTTTGGATTAGAATATTTATAACCTGTTTTGTTTTGGGGGGGTTTTAATCTAAAAGATTCCCACAGAGTCCACAGTGGCATCTTCACATTACTTCACAAACTTAAAACACAGAACAAAACACATCTGGGGAGGTGATAGAAAGAAACCTAATTAGTGTGATCTTTTTAAAATAGTCCATCAGAGTCAAACGTATACAGTTGCAAGAAAAAGTTTGTGAATATCCTCATATTACCAGGACTTCAATGCTACTGATTTTTCCCTCTGTCCTAATTGAAAACAAACAAAAATCTGACTGAAATCAAAACAAGAGCCAAGCCCATATGATTAGCCAGTGTTATCTGTGTGTCCGTCTATTGGTATCAGCGTTTATAATGGCCAATAAATGTGAAAAATAAAGATGGGACTGAAGAAAGGCTCTTCAACCATGTTCTGTGTGTTGAGGTTGTGTAGTAAATAAATAACTACACATAACAAATGTTAGGCAAATATGTTCAGCTAATATATTGTAATAACAGATTTCTTTTATAGATATCACTCCCAAAAATCTTACACTGGTCAGATTCTGCTAACAACAAACAAAAACTTGCACTTTCCGTGCTTTTATTGAACACACTGAGTAATTACTCACAGTCCAGGCTAGAAAAACACTACCAAATTCTCCAAAAGCTACTGGAAGTCAGGTGTTCCAATTAATGACATGGGATTGGAAGTCTGGGATGCAGCTGTAGCACTTCCTTTAAAGACATGCATGAAAAGCCTCATGTAAGATAAGATAAGATAAGATAACTCTTTATTGTCATTGCACAGTCATACATAGTACAGTAGTACAATGAAATTGGAAAAACTGTCCTACGTCGGCACTACATATAACACAACACGACACGATATGACACATCACAACGTAACAAACAACACAACACAGTATATTAACTTAGTATAAAAAAGAAGAATAAGTGTATGTGTATTGCACACTGTTATTATTGCACATTAATTATTATTGCACCTTGTTATAAATATAAATATTATTGTTATCGTTTTAAACATTGTTACCTCCCCCTAAAAAGTCCAGGGAGGTATCCAGTCAGGTCAGCTATTTACATTGATCAGGGCTATTGCCCTGTTGTAAAAGCTGTCCTTGAGTCTATTTGTTCGGGACCTCAGCAGCCTGAACCTCCTGCCAGACGGCAGCAGCTTAAACACCCGGTGTCCTGGGTGTGTGCAGTCCCGTAGGATGCTGCGTGCCCTCTTGAGACAGCGAGTGCTGTACAGGTCCTTCAGGGAGGGAAGAGGATGTCCAATGATTTTTTGGGCCATGTTGATGACCCTCTGGAGTGCCTTTCTGTGTGCTGTGGTGCAGCTGGAGAACCACACACCGATGCAATATGTCAGCACACTTTCAATGGAGCAGCGGTAGAAGACGGTCAGCAGCTCCTTCTTCAGGTCCATTTTTCTGAGGATTCTCAGAAAGTGGAGACGCTGTTGGGCCTTCTTTAAGACCGCAGAGGTGTTAGAGCTCCATTGGAGGTCTGTGTCTATGTGCACACCCAGAAACTTGAAACTGGAGACCCTTTCCACGCACTCCCCGTTGATGCTGACAGGCTGCAGCTCAGACTTCCTCCTTCTGAAGTCAACTACCAGTTCTTTTGTTTTGGTGGTATTGAGGTCCAGGTTGTTGTCTGCACACCAATCTGACAGCCTCTGAACTTCAGCTCTGTATGCAGTCTCATCTCCCCCTGAGATGAGCCCCACCACAGTGGTATCATCTGCAAACTTGATGACTGTGTTGTCTGGGTGGGAACTAACACAGTCATGTGTGTACAGAGTGTACAGTAGGGGACTCAGTACACAGCCTTGTGGAGAGCCGGTGTTGAGGCTGAGGGCTGAGGAAAGATGAGGCCCCACTCTAACTCTCTGTACACGGTCTGAGAGGAAGTCTCTGATCCAGCGGCAGGTGGTGGAAGGAAGTCCAATTTCCAGCAGTTTATCTATTAGTCTGTCCGGGAGTATCGTATTGAAAGCAGAGCTAAAGTCAACAAAGAGCAGCCTGGCGTAACGGCCCTGCACTTCCAGGTGAGAGATGGTGGTGTGGAGCGTTGTAGCAATGGCATCTTCAGTTGATCTGTTAGCTCTGTATGCAAACTGGAGCGGGTCGAGTGTGGGTGGCAGGCAGGACATGATGTGACGTCGGACCAGTTTCTCAAAGCACTTCATTATAACAGGTGTTAGAGCAACTGGTCGGTAGTCGTTGAGGCTGCTAATGTTAGTACGCTTTGGCAGTGGGACAATTGTGGCTGACTTTAGGCACGGCGGGATGCAGGACTGGGACAGTGAAGTGTTGAAGATCTTAGTGAAGACCCCAGCCAGCTGGTCTGCACACATGTAGGCTGCTCATCTCAAGAATGACTGGCTAGTCTGAACCAGAGGTGGACAAATAATGTTCCTAAGGGCCTATATAAGAAACTAGGATTACTATAGGGGGCTGCAGCAATGACCTGAACTCAATTCTGCTTCATTTTAATTGTATCTCTTTATGAACCTTTACTGGTAAGAGTAGATGTTACAATCAGGTCTGAACCATTCTGTGACTGCAAGAAAAAGCAGTACAGAGATGCACAAAGCTGACAGCATGTCTTGCAAATATCAAACCACAGCACACATCTGAAATAGGTGAAAACAAGACCGAAGGGTTACAACAAAACACCTGCAGAAGTCTTGCTAAAATGTTCGTTCATCTTCACTAGAAAAAATTACTTAATACCAGGACTTCCACCTCTCCACGCCCCCTTCAAAAAACCGGCACATGAAGCAGAAGAAAAGTCAGCAATATCTTGTAGGCGAACAAACTGCAAGCAGGAGGAAGCATCGTGGTTTGCGGCTGCTTTGCCACCTCACAGCCTTGATGCCAATCATTAAAGGAACAATACATTGAACACTGTATCAAAACATTACACAGTAGAGTGTCAGGGTAGCAGTCCGTGAACTGAGGCTTAGGAGGGTGGCAACAACATAATAACCCAAAGGATACAAAGTAAGAATTAAGTGTTTTAATGACCAAGACAGTGACCTTAATCCAATTGAGATGCTGTGGCTAACCTGAAGAGTGTCCAATCAAGAGTTTTATATGGGCCCTCTTCACTGTGTCGGCAGCTACTGTTGCTCCTTCTACGAGTGACTAAATTTAAAAGCTGACTTACTTTTATTAGCCGATACTGTGAGTGATCACTCAATGTGTTCAATTAAGACAGGAAAACCACAACTGTGTGGTTTTAGTTTAGTCAGATTATTGAGGTCCATAACTGTAACTTTTTTCTAAAGATGCAGATTAGGCCACATTTTATGAGTAATCAATGCAGAAATTCTGTTAATTCCACATTTTTTCCAACTACATAGCAGGATAAGACTGACTCAAAGGATTAACTGTGAAAGAAACATCAGCTGAAGGCAATTTAATGTGAGAATGGCAAAAATGTGAGGAAAGAATGCCAGAATTAATATCTTGGGATGTTCAAGGTGCTGAGGATTGTGGATGAGGTAAGTGTGTGTAGAGAAGGGGGAGGGGTGTTGGTGGAAATGGGGTTAGCCAGGTGCGGATAGCGAGAACTGCAGTAAATGTTAGCCGGTTTTACAACTTCCACTCGCCGAGCTAGACAGAAAGTGAGCATGCTGTTGATCCTGCTGCTGTGGCCA